AGTATACTAACGTACGTACGTACGTACGTACGGTTACGTTACCGTAACGTAACGTACGTACGGTAGTAGTAGTACTACTAACTAACTACTATACTACTACTATACTACTCTCTCTCTCTCTCTCTCTCTCTCTCTCTCTCTCTCTCTCTCACACACACACACACACACACACACACTCACACACAAACACACACACTCACACACACAACTCGATCTTTATTTTTTTTTATATGATAATCAGTTGAAATGTGCAAAATATTCAATGTTGTGAAATGAAACTATAACTATGGCTAAAGAGTATTGCTGAGAACTTCATCATACCTGTTCACCTAAAATAGAAAGTTGATCAATGGCTGCAGGTCTATACACATCAGCAGCAACCATCATGCAACTCCTTCCCTATACTTCAAACCACATGATTAATACCACGCTCATCTAGAGAGAACAATTGAAGAAAATCTCACCTGTTTCTTGAGATACAAGGCCAACTTAGCACAAACAGTAGTCTTCCCAACACCTTGTAAACCTGCCAACAGTATAACTGTAGGACCCGACTTTGCAAAAACGAGCTCAGATACTTCTCCACCCATTAGTTTTACTAATTCATCATGCACAATCTACAATGAAGCAACAACCAAGAAGGCACTTTTAGCCATGTGATTTTATAATATTTTAGCAAAGTATACATAAAACTAGTATATTGTATTTCCAGCAAAGATGGAAATCAACTGTGGTTCTCAGTGAAGCTCACGTGAGTTAATCTCCACTATCCATCAACAGGAATAGATGGTGGAAGGTCCCAGGGTACCATGTGCCATACACCATTTGCATAGGATATGAACAAGGAGGGTCACAATTTTATGAGAAAAATTACAATGTTACCACAATTACCTTCACTAATTGTTGATCAGGTCTCACTCCTCGAATCAAACCAACACCAACTGCCTGATCACTGACAGACTGAACAAATCTCCTCACAACTGGAAGGCTTACCTGAACCCATTATAAACGAAACGAATAGAAAAACCAAATCTTTTCGTGTAGTTATAAGTTTTTTCCTTTTTTTTTGGGGGGGGTGTGGTTTGTATAAAGTTGTGACCTTAAACAATCAAAGTAAGGCGCACCTCTATATTTTGTCTTAAGATGTAAGTTCTTCATTGGAAATTCTTAGGATGGCATGAAAATATATATTCATCTCTAACTATAAAATTTTAAATTCTAAAATTAGTTCAGATCAATTAGATTTATAAACATGCAAAAATCTTGAATATGGACGGTCCAAATAATGTGTTCCAAGATGCACTATTTTGGGACTGAAATCTTCTTCTTCTTCTTCTTTTTTTAATATCCTTACATCTCAATGTCAAGATGATCAATTATAGGGTTTTTCAACATCAAAATAGCCTTGTCCATTGGATTTTTGAGGTGCACCTTAATTCTACAGTTTAAGGTTACAACCTTATGTAAACTTTTCCTTCTTTTTTTTTTTTGCTTTAGATATTATTAATAAAGAGAACAAAAGCTTACATCCGCCTCCAAAAGAGCTCTCCTAATCTCTCGCATAGGCTCAACAAAGTTGTCCTTGGTCAAAACATCTGGATTACAACATGAAATGTTACATATAATGAAATGTTGATCTGAATGTCAAAAAGAAAAGATGCAAAAAACCACATAATACTCTAGACATGGATATATACCAAGATATTAAAAGAAACAGAATAGCCAAATCTATCCATGAAAGTCATAAAAAATAAGTACTTTGTAACTTACAATTTCTAAAAAACAATTTCTAAAAGCTATTCCTTGAATGATACACAAATTACAAGTCCAACCATTAAAGGGAAAAAATCATGTTCAAAACGAAACCATTTTCTTGGAATTTACACGTAACCTCATGTACATAGGTAGGAAAATGTGAGGACTGAGATTAGCCATTATAAGGATCAAAACCCTACAGTTGAGCATCTAAAGTGCTCCGAGCCTTGAATGTTGGGATGGTGATTTTATTTAACTCTAACCACAAAAACTTTTTTGGTTTATCCATCTCATAATCAATCACATGAAATTTTCACTCTAGCCACCTTGGCAATCAAATGGCACAAGGCCAGTAACTTGCGGGATTGAATGTTCTTGAGGAAGTTTAGAGAAGGAAACAAAAAATTCTCTGAAAGATCAATTTAGTAATCAAAGCTGAACATCTAATTGCCATGAAACTGGCTGAATCAAAAATGCAAAAGTCTGTTTCATAGACAATTATATGAAGAAAGAAGTCCAAAATGAGATGAAATAAAACATAATTTTCTATTTCTTGTGGGTTAGAAAATAAAATTAAAAAGAAAAAAAGAAAAATGAAACTAATGAAAGGCATAAAGTGCTTTATAGTAGCAGGCTGTCCAAATGAATTTAAGATATTCATCATCATTGTACAGGCACTCGCCTTGGCAAGGGAACTTGCCCCCTGGCCGAGGCCCGTTACTTGGCTGAGGCTTGAGGACTCGGCAGAGTCCAACACAGGGCAAAAGGTCATAAAAAAATTAAGAAAATTCTGAAAAATAAAAATCATGTATTAAAAGTAAATTCAAACCTAAAACACAAAACAAGGTTAAAAAAGTAGAGAAAACATGGATTTCAAAAAATCCAATTTACGATTTGGCATAATTTTAAAAATCCAAAAAACGAAAAACATAAAAATGTGATTACGCAAAAAAACACTCACCAAATATTTGCCAAATAGATCTAAATCATGTAAGAACTCGATTTTTTACAATTTTTCCCTTTTGTTTTTGAAAAATTTTTAAAGAAAAAATATCTCTATACCCTTTATTTTTAGGTTTCATTAAACAAGAGACCCAAGGTTTTAAAAGATATCTTAAGGCATTAAGGCATAAAAGTAGTAGATTTTATTTCTTCCAACCCCCTAAGCTAATTTAAACATATTTATTTAGGTCAAACAAATTTAAAAAAACATGCCTTTTCTAAAAAGCCATTCTCCCAAATTTCTCTCTCCCACACCCCTTTTGTCTCTCCCCTCACTCTGTCTCCTCCCACTCTCTCTCTTCACGTTTTCAGAGGGAGTAAGAGATGTAGAGAGAGAAAAAAAGAAGTTTGGGGTACATAAGTGAAGAGAGAGAAAGGATTGAGTTGGATTTCATAGAGGTAAGAGGTTATCGGGAAGAGAGAGAGGTAGTTGGAGAAACACGGGAGGAGAGAGAGAGTAAGAGATACAGGTAGAGAGAGAAAAAGAGAAGTTTGTGGTATATAAGTGAAAAGAGAAAGGATTAGTTAGAAAGAGCATGTTTTTTTTGCATTTGTTTAGGCTAAAAAATAGGTTTAAAATAGGTTTAAAGTGAGAGAGATATCTTTTGAAATCTTGGGCTGATCAAGAAATAAAAAAAAGAGGATATGGAGATATTTTCCCTTTTTTAAATACCCAGAGTTGTCGCACAGGGGTTACTTGGGTGAGGCTGAGTAATTTAGCTGGGTCCGAGTGGCTTTCATCGTAAGTTATATTATGATCTCAAGGCTATATTTCTTTTCTCATAATTGTCTTGAATAACTAAATTGGAAAACAAAAACTGGAACCCATCTAAATCCTACACGTTTAAACTGATAAATAAACGAATAAATACGTTTAAATCGTGAATATCTAACCTTCCTTTCTGAGTTTTGTCCAGGCAGCTTCTAGACTGCTCGTCAACTGGCCAAACATCTCTGCTCTCACAATCAAACGCCTTTCCTTCTTAACAATTGAGATTTTGCTATAAACCCAGCCCCATATCTCTCTCTAGAAAAGACCCCGAGGAACCAAAAACGTAAATTGGAAGAAAGTAAGCATAATCATGTACAAGAAGCAATGAATCCAAAATCCTCAAATTGGGTGTCAATCAAACTGCAAAAATAAACAAATAAACCATAAATTCTGCAAAAATGAGTCTAAGAAGACTGTAACTTACTGTGAATGTGTTCCTTGATGAAGACCCAAGCGAGAGAGATGAGAGAAATGATGAGGCGATTGGTCTTTCAGGGTTTCTCGGAGAACAAAAGCTTCCATTGGGGTTTGTAGACAGAGAAAATGGGGTAAGTAGTTTTAAAGAGGAAGAAAGCGATGATGCAGAGAAATGGCAGGAACCAAGTGTAGCCATGGAAAAAGCTTCCATGGTCGCAGAGAAGAGATGCAGTGGCCAAGAGGCTTTATCCGCTCAATTTTTACTCAGGTCCCTTTGAATTAATTTGGGAAGAAAACGGCAAAAATGCCCATATTACAACGCAAAAGTTCAGAGCGCGTATAGTATGCCCCTTAGGAAGCATAATATACATCTAGTCACTCGGAAAAAACACCTTTTCCTTTTCATTGTATTTTTTTTTTTTTTTTGGAGATTTTGGAATTCAACTAATTATTAATAGATGCAACGAAAGAAATTTTGATTTTAAGTTCTTAAATATATAAATCATTCTCTTAAAAATTAGGTGGTTATATGTACACTTTTAGGATGCTAAATTTTTTTAGGTATATAGAGAGTGAGAGGTTTTTTCTTTTTTTTTTCTTTGAAGTTGGTTGTCAGGTTCTAATAGAGATCACATTTGCAAGTTTCGAGATTTAAAAGATATTCCTAGTGTATGATTTGCTTTAGGGAATAGATGGATAGTGTATTGGGAGTGCGAGATCTTTTGTCAAAATTAATACACCCTATCTGGATTTTGTGGGACCCTTCTGTCCTGCTCTCTTTTTGTGTCTTTAAAAAAGACTTCTTTTTGCTAGTGGGTTTTGTGGGTCCCGTAGCTGATTTTCAATGGGGTCTTATAAAAGTCTATAATCCCCATTCTGCTGCCCAGAAAGAGAGCTTTATTTTGGATATGTCTGAAGTTATTTCTCAGTTTGATTTTTCAATCTGTATTGGGGGATTTTAATTTTATGAGATGGCTAGAAGAATGTTCTTCTAGAATCCCCCTTAGAAGATAGTGACGGTATGGTCCAAGCAATTATTAATCACTTCCAGTGTGCCTTTTACTTCTGAAGTAAAATTCACTCTTAGACTCAGTCGTGTGGGTTCTAGAGTTCTCCCGCCTAATCTCATTCCTAACTTGGATAGGGATGTCTCTATGGATGAACTAAAAAAGGTTGTATTTGCTCTCCCGGGTGATAAGGCACTTGGTCTAGATGGCTTCCCATTAATCTTTTTCCATAAGTACTGGAATTTGGTTAGTAGTGAACTATTGGAAATGACCAGGGGTTTTTTAACGAGAGGAAATCTATTTAGAGGAGTAAACTCTACGTTCATTACTTTGATTCGTAAAAAGTTTGTGATTGCTACCTTGGGGGATATTAGACATATCAGCGTTCTTACGAGTCTCTACAAAATTGTGGCTAAGCTTCTAGCTACCTTTTATTATTTCTGATCCTCAATCTGCTTTCATTAAGGATAAGCTAATTTCTGATAGTGTTATGATTGCACAAGAGTTCATCCATTCTCAAATCCTTGATGGGAGTCCTGGTGTGGTTATCAAACTTGGCATGGAGAAGGCTTATGAAAGGGTGGAGTGGAAAATTCTGTTAGAAATTATGAAAAATATGGGTTTCAATGATAAATGGAGACAGTGGATCTTTGGTTGCTTATCTTCAGCCCACTTTTCCATTTTGTACAAAGAGAGTTCGATTGGGTTTTTTAAGGCTACACGGGGTCTTCGTCAAGGGGACCCCCTCTCTCATTTTCTCTTTACCATTTTATGCAGAGTGTTTTAGTTTGATATTGACAAATATGGCAAGGAATGGGCACTTCTCGGGTTTCCAAATGCCTAATGGGGGGGGGGGGGGACCTTGTATCTCCCATTTGCAGTATGCTGATGATACTTTGCTGCTTTGTGAAGCTCAGATTTCTCAGGTTACCAATATTGCTACTTTGCTAAAATGCTGTGAAGTTGGCTTAAGCTTAAAGGTTAACTTTGGGAAAACAAGTGTTGTTGGCTTAAATTGCAGTGATGAGGAAGTGTGGTCAATAGTGCAGCAGCTAAGGTGTAAGTTAGAAACATTCTTGATTATTTAGTTGGGGATGTTGTTATCAGATGGACGCCTGCCAATTGCGATCTGAGATAAAATTCTACAATGCATCCAAGTTAAACTTGATTAATGGAAGTTTAAATATCTCTCCTTTGGGGGAAGGATTACTCTCATTAAGGCTTGTCTATCGAACTTACCTGTTTATCAAATGTCAATTTTACCGATCCCTTCTTTGGTGGCTAGGAAAATTGAAATGATGATGAGGAATTTTCTTTGGGGATCCTCAGTGGAGACAAGGAAAATCGATCTTCTTCGATGGGATAGAGTGTGTACGCCCAAGAAGGAAGAGGGGCTCGGGATTAGGAAAATCAAAACTGTTAATCAAGTCTTACTCTGTAAGTGGTGGTGGTGGAGTTTAATTCTTAAAGATCACCTCTGGTACGAAGTCATTGCTTCGAAGTATGGGTCGGATTGTTTTGATATGTGAGTGGGGGCCAGAAGTGGAATTAGGGGAATGTCTGATTGCTAGAGGTCTATTCATTCATGCAAAAGTTTTATTCATAGAGATATGTGTTGGTCTGTGGGCAATGACAGTAATATTTCTTTTTGGCACCACAAATGGGTGGGGGATTCTCCATTGAAAATACTATTTCCTTTGGTTTTCCAGAGGATGGCCAACCCCAATGCTATTGCTTCAGATAATTTTGTTCGTAGGGGTGACCAAATTGTGTGGAATATTAATCTTCCATATAATAGAATCCCTAACTCTCTTTTCTCTCAACTCTCTGGTTTACTAAGGTTATTGGAGGAAGTCTATATCCCTCTTAATGCTGAGGATGAGGTGGTATGGGAGATTGATAAAAATGGAGTTTATTAGGTGAAGTCCATGTACCTATTACTTTTTCACGATAGATGGAGATGGCCTATGCCTGAGATAGCCATCATTTGCAAATGCCCTCTTCCTCTCAAAGTACAAGACTTTTTATGGTTGGTGGTTCAAAATAAGGTGCTTACGATGGATACTCTTATCAAGAGAAGGAAAATTCTGCCAAATATTTGTCTCATGTGCAAGGCGGATGGGGAATATAGCGACCATCGCTTCCTTCATTGTCCTTTTGCTCTTCGCCTCTGGAGTTGGTTCTTTGTCCAGCTTGGGATTGCATTTTTATTGCCACCTTCAATGGTTGGGATCTTACAAAATTGTATGGTTGATTTGCCACGAACTGGGAATGTTATTTGGCAAATTACTAGAGGCGTCATGCTATGGGAAATCTGGAAAGAGAGAAATAGGAGAGTTTTTTAGGGGAAATATCTGCCTTTCGAAAAATCTTGGAGAGAGTTTTGCACTCAATTTGGTTATATTTTTCAGTTATTAAAGTTGATCAGGATCTATCAGAAGTGGATGTCAAAAGAAATTTAAATAATTTATTTCATATGGGCTAATTTAAATGTAGACCTATAGGAAGATGATTGCCTCTACCCCTAGGTGTATACAAGCTTAATTTTGATGGCAGTTCGATAGGGAATCCAGACCCAGCTGGCTTTGGTGGTGTTTTTAAGGATTGGATGGGGAACGTGATCTTTACATACTCACGTCCACTTGGGATGCGTACAACTAATTTTACAGAATTGTTTGCTCTTTTCTATGGTCTGTGTATCTTTGTGAAAAGGAATGTGGGGTCTTCTTGTATCCTTGAAGGGGATTCTCTTAATGTCATTAAGTGGTGTAAAGGGGAACAAAAGCTGTCTTGGGATCTCAAATATGTGTTACTTCAGATTTTGGACCTCTCATCTTCTTTTTCCTTTCCCTTTGTTCATGTTTATAGGGAGGCCAATGTATTGGTAGACTCTCTTGCTAAAGGAGGTTCCTCCTTTCCTGAAACTATTGTTTTTTATTCTATAATTTCGTTCTAGCTTAATACAATTGTGGAATTTTTGTCAAAAAAAAAAAAAGATATCCGGAATAATTTTAACTGTTTTAGAAAGTTGAATGTTTTGTTATGAAAGGTTTAAATAAGTTTTGTGTTTGATAATAAGTTGTAATGTTAAGAAAGTTTTGGGTACTGTGTTTGATAACATACACATATTAATCATATATTATATAAATATATAACATATAATATAAGATATTTATATTATATTATATATATATTTATATTATTTATATTATTTTTTATTATATTATATATTATTTATTTAATATAATAAATATATTATTTATAATATAAGAATATATTATATGTAACATATAATATAATATATGATATTTATATATTATATATACTATTATAAAACTACAGCTCGAAAGCCGACGCTTGCTAGCTTTTTGCTCTTGCATTGTCAATGGCGAGCAAAACAAGTGGTAGCAAGGTCAAAGCGATTGTTGAAGAGTAATCAATATATATTATATAATATAAATTATATTAATGAAAAACATAATATAATAAATTATTATGTTATATACTATTATAAATATTATATAATATTATATTATAGTAATATTATATTATATCATATCATATTAATAATACTAATATTATATATTTATATTATGCATAGTGAATAGTGATCAACAAAAAAATTATGAAAGATTAAGCTCCTACCTCCCTATGTACTTAATCTTTCACTTGTTAACAAGGACGCGGTTTCTATGCGGCCAAGCCCACATACATAGAAATGCGGGCCTCTTAATAAATGTATTTTTTAGATGAATTTTTAGACTTAATTTTTAAGAAAATGTAATCTCTAACATGGAGATCATGAATATGAATAAATAAATAAATTTTAAAAAATAAAAATAATCATTCTAGAAAGAAAACATTTGGACCACTAGTTTCCATTGATTTTAGATGGAACACCTACTTGCATCCATCTTTAAGATGGATGCTTTACACTTTCCGAACTACATATATAGAAATGTGGTCCAACTCCCATGAAACAATTTTCCTTTTAACAAAGGAATGTGAACATTGTTGAAAGATTAGTTTCTGAACTTTTCATGAAAAGTGTGAAACAAACACGGAACTTTTTCAAAATTTGAAAGAATACTTTCAAAAAAACAAACACGCCCCTAAAGAGAGTCTTCTAATGTTGAATACCCTCCAATGGATCCATGGGGATATGAAAGAAAAAAAGAATTTGCAGTTTTTATAATAGTTGTAACAAGTTATTTGGATAATCTATTTTTCATTGAGAGAGAAACATCAAACTTGATGAGCTTGATGATTAGCCCATGATGGGGATGAGGCCTTTATATAATGAG